GGCTTGCTTGCTCATGGGATTGAGCCTACGATAGATCTTTTTGATCAAAAAATGCCAACTGAGATTCCTAAGTGGGATTTTGATCCAACAGGATTACTTAAGTAAGGTTGTTATACTGAATGTCATGTAACCTAATCTAAAGCGATTTCAGTCACGTCAATCTGCTGTTTTTAAATGAGTTTGCTCTCGGCTGCCTGCATGAACTGCTTTCTGTAAAAGTGACTACTGAGTAGGGTTTCCACTCTGATTTCCGCTGCCCTTATCAAATATATTTTATTGAAAGCAGGTAAAAAATGTTTTGTTCTTATACTCGTTTATTAACAGATGTCGTCGTCTTCTTCATAAGCTATACTTACTTTTACTCATTTCGGCTGCAATCATGACTGATCTAGCCGGCCTCGATGATGTCCTGGACAGTACTTTTCCACGCGTGACGTTTCGCTACAGCAGACTTGGACAGTTCGATCCACTCCTTTCGCCGGCGCTGGGGACCGTATAGCACTTCCATGTCCTGACAAACGGCGTTGAGTCAGGTTTTGAGCTGACCCCCACTTCGACGTTTCCAATAAGATGACGGTTGCGGGTCGAGAGCAGTAACATTGAGCTAGTGAGGTTGACGACAAAGAACGTGTATAAATCACATATGTCGTCTTTGTTGGATGGCCTTTGCGGTGTTGTCACAGCGAGTGCGGACTGTCTCATTTGAGACGAAGTTGTTGTACTTCACTTGAAGGATGGTCCTCAGGTAGTAATGGTCAAAGACTTCCAGTTTCCTTTAATCTTCCATGCGCATAGCCCAGCATTCGCAGTCGTATAGAAGAACAGACCGCACAGATGCATGGCATACACGAATTTTCGTGGCAAAAGAAATATCTTGTCAGGTCCATAGGCACTTTCGAAGGCTGAAAAAACTCGTCAAGCTGCGTCAATTCAGAAGCCAATGCCATCCTTACTCTGTCCCCTCGGCAGCAACCTCCCTCCGAGGTATTGGAATCTGTCTCCTTCTTCAAATTGAAAGTCATTAATGTTGCCGATAGAAGCGAATATGCTAGTTGTAGGAAGCAGTTCAGAAGCAAAAATGCGATCACTGGAAGAACAAGTTTATTTGCCTGGCGTCTCGGATTCCATCGAGAACCCATAATCGTAGGTAATCGTAGAATAGTGTGGCACATGCATAGAAATTCACTTAGTGTTTGACCATACTACTCGCATGTGTCTGTAGCGCTGGAGTTCTTTGTGAAAGGCTGTGATTTGCTGCCCCTGCCCCTCATACCCCTCTCCCATGGCAGCCAGCGCCCTCAGACTTTAAACATGGCCTTCAATTTTGCACGCTCTTAGCACTCTCTCTCCTGACAGGTACTTTGGTCGCCTTCTGCTGGAAGCACCTCTCCTTACACAAAACGCGATGAATTCCCTGAAGCGATACTGCTGGAACCCGGAGCATGCACCCTATGGATTCCAGGTTAGGACTCCATACCATTTTCTTGCGAAACATAAACATCTACTCATTTATGATTAAGTAGTACTGGTTTACAAATGTAAGTTGTGTCATTCCCTTATCCGATTGCTGGTCAAGGGTATACTCACGTTTTTTGAGAAAGATGATTGTGCGACAAAGTAAATATGACAAGTAAACTACTGCGAAGCAGAATGAACTGCTACAGTACCCCCACCCTCAAAT